ACTTTTACTTTTATTTTTTTTATTCAATACTTCCCTTTTTCTTATTTTTTAAATCACTCCTGATAATTAAAAAAAAATTAATATTTTTTTCGAATTTTTTTTATTATTTTAAAATAAAAATAAAAATAAAATAATATTAATAGTAATAATTCACCTTTTAAATTTTGTATTTTTACCCTATAATAAAAAGTGTAACAAAACTAAAAATTGTAGGTTAAAACCCCTAAAATATTTACATAGAAGAAGTGATAAAAAATTAAATATTATCAAAAATTAGGTGCTCACAATTAGTATATACAGTTATCATTTATATACAAAGTAAAATTAGACTCTAGTCTTATTTATTTTATGCTTCATTCTTCTTTATTTCTCTCTTATTTTCCCTTCTCTTTTTCTCTCCTGTAGGTGTTGTATTGATTGGAATCAATTGTGAGAATAACCTCGGTCTGTTTGACTTATTTACTCATTAATTGATGAAAAGTTCTACTCATTATCTAAATGAAGCTGCCATAAATCGTGATACTACGAAGCTCAACATAATTATTTCAGAAAAGAATGTTCACTGTGATGCATGATCTTCGATGTAATTAACGTACTTTGATGAATTAGATTTTGTTTAGGTGTGTGAAAGCAGGTGCGAATTTAGGGGGTCCATCCAAACTCCTTCGCCGAAAAATTACACTGTATATAAAAAGGCAAAATCTATTTTTTATCTCTATATATTATATTTTAAATCCACTTGACATAGCCTAAAAACATAGCTTAGTGATCAAGAAGGTTCAAAACCTTTGTAAAGTTATTGGTTCAATTCCCACTAGCTGTCCCAGTCTGCTGCTACCAATCATTCCTGTACTAGAAAGCCATGAAAACTGACCCAGTCGAATCCACGGAACAAGACCAAGACCATTGAGTCTATATTTGCAAAGTTTTTAAAAGAGGGACAAAATATAAAGAGTGGCTTAAAAAAGAGACATACAATGCCATTTCCTGAGCTAGAGCAAACAAATTTATGAAATAAATGAACCAAGACCTTAGGCCTACAACTGAGTTATGGAACCCCATGTTCTTCCAATTGGGTCAAGACCCGCCCCGCCCATAAACGAGCCATCAGACACTTTGATAATTTAAAACCTTTTCATTCATAAAGTTCAGAAATACACTGCACAGAATTGCCAGTTTTAAGTAAACAACAAACTCAACAGGCAAACTTCGTACACTTGATTATAAACAACTCAATGGAGAGCAAAAATTTATTCAGTAACAACCAGCATATACAGAGGATTTTAGGCATTCAGTTCAAGATGCCGATATGCAGCCAGTAAATGGGACCCACAGAAGGAGCAAAGACAAAGGGTGGATCAAGACAGCAGGAGAGCAAAGCCAAAGATGAAGACAATCTCAGAGATTGATGTTTGATCATGCTGCACTCAAACAATTCTCCCAAGACCCATACTTTGAGCTGAAGGTCCCACCACCACTTTGTTGTGCATATTCAGAAATTACAGCGCGAGCACAGACATCCCAAGTCCTTGCTATGTCTTTTAAAGTCATTGGCTGTGAAAGACTTCGCAAAGAGACACTAAATCTTGATTTGGCCTTCATAGATAGATCTTCATACTCCTTACTGCAGCAAAAATAGGTAAAAACCCAGTTTTAAAAGGATTCACTTTACGAGTTAAAGTGGAGAATATAAGACTAGATAAAGGGTGATTTTCAAAACTTATTTGATAATCTTAACGCAGATCAAAAGGCAGATGTACAATATCTTTTATGATTTCCCAATGTAGGGTGCTCTAAAATCTCGTATCTCGTGGTCAGTATATTTTCCAAAACTATGGTATTCCATTCGAGTATCAGCATGGCCCCAACATCATTTTTTTTTTCTCCTAGCAATTACTGTCATCCCTCTCTTCTTTTACTTTTCTATTAAACCCTGTTCTTTTGTTTCTAGGGAGAAAAAAACAGGACATAGCTTAATGGAACTCTGTTACTACTAGCCCCTGACTGACCATTAGAGAATTCAACTAAATGATTAATCACAAGGACCTTTTGTTCATCATCTTACGACCTTTCACAAAATCAACAAGGTATAATGAACATGTCATAAAATCAGATCTGTTGATGCTTTATTGACTTGTATGTTATAATTCCCCTTTTCAATTATTTCCTTTCCTTTCTCTGTCTTGGCTCATCTCTTTTTGGTACTAAATCAAGAAGACCGCCAAATTTTTCCTCACCTGACTTCAACTGGAAACTTGTCCAACAAAACTGGAGAGCAATTTGGATAATTAGCTGGAACGAGCAATCTCAACGGCTGAATCGGAGACTGCACAGAATTAAACGACCGTATCAATTATAGAAACAAAAAATGTTTTAGAGTTGATGACTGAAGCTCAGTATATGAAAATCTCACCATCTGTGCAGAAGCATACTGTGACTTTAAGTTTGGACTCAATGCAACGGCAGTGAAGGAACACTTTACAGTAATGCCTTCACCACCCTCTGTTGCAGAAGCAACTGCACTTGGATCAACACCTTTGTCACTAATTTCTACAACAGTGTCGATAAGCTGCCGATTGATATTCTGTATCTCTTCAACCAGTGCATGATTAACCTGCAATAGATTACTAATTATTGTTAGTACACTGTAGGTACAAAACCCAAAAATTGACACCAAAGCAGTTTTCTTGTCAAAGATCAACACATCAATATGAATGCAAAGTCAAGAAAATCAGCATCTGAAAAAACTACATTTTTGTGATAAAAAAAGTATATTATGACCTTTATGCTGGATATTTTATACAACTGTTACCATTCTAAAAAAATGTATCTTACATCAGATATTGGATGTACTACCATCAATAATGATTGATGAAAAGCAAACCAGAGGCGAGCGAAATGACAAAAACTAACACATTTTCCTGTATATGCAAAGAGATCACATACTTTAAGGAATAAAAACACCATTCCACATGTTGGATTCACAAGCTAGCATGGAATCAAAGCTGCTTTAATATTTTCCCGTCTTATAACTTATAATACCTGTTGTCCTGTATTCTGCCAATGCTTGGAATGTTCTCAATTTGTATTTTTGTTTTTCTGTTGAACAAATTTACTCATCTGAGAATCAAGCAACTCTATTAAATGATTAGGCGGGGTTTAAGTCATTCACATTATTTACAGTAACACAAAAAGTAAGACAAATCCAGGCATAAAGAAACCCAATACAGAAATGAGAGGATCTAAAGCATTCCATCTATCCAAACTCCAGAGAGCCTAGTGCATTTGGGGATTCAAGTCAAAATAGTTCGTAAATAGGCAGTGACTAGACATCTGAAGACAACTTCCAAATCAGACTTAGTTCAACACTAGAATATATTCACACGCTAGTTGCAACAGATGGGATAATGTTGCAATCATATAGATAGAAGGCATATTTTTATTTGCATACAAATTTTTATCCTGCGGCACAGTAGGGTTGAAAAAATTGTGCTAGAGATTGGATTAGATGTTTTGATATCGTAAGTTAAAGCAGCAGGCACTCGACAGTCTGGTCCAAAGACACACCAACATTAGTCACACCGTGCAAGCCAGCTGAAAGCCTCAGGTTTCAGACAGCATTCAATGTACTGCGTTCATTTAGATCTATACAGCCATCCTATAGTTGGTTCAGATCATTTAGATATACTCACCAGCTGCAAACGCACTAGAGGAGTAAAGCTCATGTCCCATCTACATAAAGCATGTTTGATTTACACACACAGTATTCTACCCTGGTTATCACAGTTTCCAGAACAGACTTAGAAGTGGTAGTTTGGGTCAAAGTTCCAGTAGCAGCAGTATAACCAATTAAAGGAAAGAGTAGGCACATGGAATGATAATTAAAAGGCACTTCGAAATTGACTTTCACTTTGCGTGCAAGCTGAGACTTCAGGAACTATTCCACTGTATTGCAATTGTTTCATTCTAGTCTCTCTTTGGCCATGGCCATGGCCAATGACCAGATTTATTTTAACTCTTAAAGTGCACCCGAATGGACCCCTTTCTATTAAGATCCAAAATAATCAACCATGGGCTCTCATGTTCGGATCTGAACTTTTGGACTTCTTTCCTGTAAGTAAGCAGCAGAATATTACCTCAAGTCTAGGTCTTTTGACACTGGATGTTGCTGTTGACTCTAATTCAGATGCTTCAGAACAATGCAACTGCCAGAAACTATCATTTACACTGCTGCTTGATGAAACAACATTCGAAGTTGTGTATCGCTTCATTTTCTTTGTTCCTGTAGCTCCATCCTGTGTAAAGTAATTTCTCGCTTGGAGACGACATTTGGTCATGGCAACCAAATCTTCGCCAACAGCTGCTCTTGATCCATTTCCTGGTGCAGATCCTGCTATTCTGTCAATCATACTGACAACTGAACTGATGTCACTAACTGACGAATTCAATGCTTTGGGGGACATGTTTTTAACCTGAATATAATAAATATGTCAAAAACAGGAAAGGCACGAAGACAGATTTATTGAGATCGCTGAAAATATAAATCAAGTAGAATGGTATTATACGAACCACTTTCATCAAGCGCTCCAATGGTTGTTCAACGCTTGACTTGCCAGAAACAGCGGCTGAGACATTCGCATGTGTACCATCCAGACTAGTAAACTCAGCAAGCAAAGGCGAGGCTGATATCCCAGGAGTACCAATTGCAAGGGATTGGGCAGGTGCAGAAGCAACCGTAGCTTGCTGATGCATTATATTTCCAGCCGTTGTATGTAATGCAAGGCCAGCACTAACTTTTTCCGAATCCCCTGGCATTGGAGATGGAGCCAAGGGAGTTGAAGGAGATGGGACAACAAATGGTGAGCTTGCGGATAGGAGAGGAGTCCCACTTTTGGTAAGAGATGCCAACATATTCTGTTGGTCAATTTGCGGAGAAGGATGTTGGGTAACCTGAGGAGATAGTGCCTGATGTATTTGAGGTGAAGAGATCCCTGGCTTCAATTGTGGATGATGAGATCCGACACGCTGGCCAACTGACTGCTGTTGCTGTAAAACTCCCGGTTTCAGTCCCATTTGCTGCCTCATCTTTAGGTCATTAGCATCATTCATCTGGTGAAGCTGTGACATCTGGTGGGCTGGCAATTGCGCGGTCTGCTGTTGCTTTGCTTGCTGCTGTTGCATGAACTGCTGTCTATTATAAAGTTGCTGCTGCATCTGCCGCTGGTGGTACTGCTGTCTTAATTGCTGGTTCTGCAACATTTGCTGCTCGTGCTGTTTAGGAAGTGACTGCTGTAGGACGTTTGAGTTTGGCTGTAGGGAACCAAGGTTTGCCTGCACAGGGTTTGTTCCACTGTGTGAATTTAATGAGCTTATGTTTACCTGTTGAGGACTGTTAACAGGATTCTGTTGTAAAGAGCCAGTAGCCACCTGCTGCAGTGAGTTCAATGAATTACCCTGTCCCAAATCCACAGTGGAACCAGACTGTACTGTATTTACCATGTGTTGCTGAGAGTTGGAAATTGTTGGTACACCAGACAAGGAATTATGCTGCAAGTTGGTGATATTATTCTGCTGCATTGCTGCCATGGAACCCTGTACGGGTTGCATAGGTGGATTACCTTGGCCATCAAGAGATTGTGGTTGCTGAAGCTGCATGGAAGGCTGAGGAAGTTGCCCTTGCAATGGAGGAGTAGGTTTGCGCGGCCTATTGGAATTAAGAAAGAAACTTATGTGCTTCTCAACCTGAAGCAGTTTCTCCTTGTGAGAAGGTTGAATATCATGCTTGTTAAGCCGCAAGAATACCACAACACGTTCCAGCGTCATCTTGAACACCTTGAGCTTTTCAATTTGCTCAGTCTGAGGGCGCTGAGGAAGAGAATCATGCTTAAAATCAGAAAAAAAATCAGTTAGTCACAGCCATGCTCCTTGCCCTTTGCTAACTTTTAATAGTAGTGCTTTAAGTACCTCCCACAGCCAAGAAAAAGGAGTGAAAACTTAAGAAAGGGCATAAAGAGACGAATAACGTAGTTGGCTAGCCAGCTGCCCACATTCCAAAAAAGTGTTGACTTAAGTGCTTTTAAACTCAGATATATCAAGCCCATGCCCGAAGAATTCGGAGGCCCTTATCCCTTCCCCAAAAGGAAAAGAGAACAACAACAAACAACAACTACCCAGTAAAATTCCACAAAGTGGGGTCTGGGAAGGATAATGTGTACACAGACCTTACCCCTAGCCCGGTAGGGCAGAGAGGTTGTTTCCGACAGACCCTCGGCTCAGAGAAGAAAAAAAAGAAAGAGAAAGAGAAAAAACAATTCATTAGTAACTCCAGTAGAAACCGTAATAGTAACAGAGCATAACAACCAAAAGATAAATGACATGCAACCAAAAGGAAAAGAGACTAACACCAAAATTGCATCTACATCACAGTGTCTGACTAGATATGTGCGCATAATCCTTTTATGGTGTCCAACTGTCCACCACCCCCTCTACTTCACAATCGTATACAATGCTGACACAGACAAATGATGCAGATGTAAGAAATGAAAAGGAATTAACCGCACCATTCCCACTATGAAAGTACTGTTTCTCAAGATGACAGGAAAGGAACTAAAGATGCAAAAATGAGAATTAAGAGTTTTGAGCTTTCTGCAACAATTCTCAATTAGATAATTTTCTAGGATTACCTATGGGCATTGCAAGGAGTTTGTATCAAATATATAAATTCCATAAAACATACGTACGAAGGAGAAATAATAGGGGTAAAAATTTGGAAAGAGATATAGAGTTTCCAACAACTGTTGGTTTATAAAATGAATCTGATACCAGTACTGTTTACCTAGTTATGGACGAACTAACAATAGAATACAAAATGCAGTACCACGGTGCATGCTATACGCAAAAAATGTTGTGAATTTGATGAAACATGTGAGGAAGTTGATTTTTTTTTTCAAACTATGACAAAGCACTTAAAGGTCAATGGTTTTAGGATAAGTAGAAATAAGAGAAAATATATGCTTTGCAAGTATTGTCCCATAAGAATGATAAGAAATGAGATTAAGCAACATGGTAATCCGTGAATGCCAATTCAAATATATGTGCTTATTTTCCAAGAAATTGACATGATAGATAAAACATAATACCAAAATTAAACTATAACAATACAAACGGATGAGCGTTAAGGGGGCATTACACAATAAAACAGTTCTGACACTAGCATTGCCATACGAATATTGGACTTCTAAGGCCCCAACATATCCATAAGACAAATATCGTAGAGATGCACATGTTAAATAGATGTATGGACACACAAGATTTGACAAGATTTTTTTTATTCAAAAAAAATAATAGAAATGATAACATCTAACGGAGGGTTCAAGTAGCAAAGATAAAGGTTAAACTCAGATGTTGCATTCTGGTTAGACTCGTATATTTGGTGGGATATGTGTGAAATTAGAGAACCTATAATTTTCTATGTGATTGGAATGAAATGAGCTTGAATATAACAGAATGGGTACAAACGATTAGTATAGCCGATGACCTCAACAAGTTGGGATTGAATAGTAGTTTATTGAGATCTATAAATACCTCATATTATATCAAAACATAGTATATCAAGCATGCTGCACCATACAGCTAGTAGAAATACTTCAGAAATGACAATAATGGAATAAAATGCTGATGACATACCTGCTGCACTTTAGCAGCAATTTTCTGGTATAGATCATTGAGCTCTGGTAAATACATCTCCCTCATAGACTTGATCTGCATTAATATTTTCATCAAGTCAATTACGCAAATATCAGATTGCATTCCCAGGTGGACAGGTAATTAGATCAACTATTCTATGCAGTAAAGAATCTTCTGGATAAAAAGGCTAAAAGTGAAGTAGAAGAGGAAGACTACAACTGATTAAAAACCATTTTGTACGAATCAGCGTGTGAATGGTAAAATGAGCAAGTACGTTTGGCTTCCTTTAGCTTCTTGGTACACATTTCAGCTCATATCATGGGTCAACTTCCAAGATGTGATCATAGACCAGCCCAGCCAGGAGGAAAACATAGGGTCGCTTTTTTATTTTTTTTACAGATAGTTTGGGAGATATAATTTGGTTTAGTAGTCGGCGTCATATTTTTTAATTTTTCCATTTTACACCTTTATCATCAATGAAGCAAACGAGGGTAAACAGTGGAAATAACATCAATGTATCGGCTTGACAAGTAAAAAAATGATGGTGTAGACTATAGAACATGTTAATGTTATATGTTTATTCTTGGAGAACTCAATGTATACCAACTTATTCCTAGCTGGTGAACCAAGTCGAGTACTTAAAGTAGAAAAGGCTAGGGAGGCGGACCCATTATCCACCAAGTTTCTCAACTCAAAACAACGAATTTCTGTTATCCCCAAAAATAAAAAAAGTATACCAACTAATACAGATGAATGGATGTCTTTCCGCAGAGAAAAACATTTTCTTATAGCCATGTATTCAGATTGGAAGGGGAATCTTGGCGTAACCGGTAAAGTTGCTGCCATGTGACCAAGAGGTCACGGGTTCGAGCCGTGGGAACAGCCTCTTGCAGAAATTTCAAGGCAAAGCTGCGTATAATAGACCCTTGTGGTCCAGCCCTTCCCCGGACCCCACGCATAGTGGGAACTTAGTGCACCAGGCTGCCCTTTTTCATGTATTCACATTGTCTTTCTCAGTTCGATAGCATTAGTGTTAGTATGATATCTTTTTATCATAGATTGTTATTACTATCTAATGTTTAACTGCTATCTTAGCTTCGGTCTTCTTTTTATCTTGTTGTTGTTCCTACTTTTTGCCATTACTTCTTTTTCATCCTTTCTTTAGCCGAAGTCTCTGCCCTTCCAAGGTAGGGATAAGGCTGTGTACATCTTAACCTCCTCAGATCCCACTCGTGAGAACTCACTGGGTTTGTTGTTGTTGTTGCTGTTGTTGTCGTCATGTATTCACATTTTCACTTCTTGCGTGAATAGGTTTACCCTTCAAACTAGAAATAAAATTCTTAGTTTTTAGTAAATAAAGCAAATTGGGTTCACACCATGGACCTTGACCCGAACTTACGGACATATTACCTCATGAATTTAGATAATAGATCATAGCATTCATCTATTTCTAATTTTTGGTAACCAATTGATTTATCAAATTCTACTTCACTTGTCAATTATGCTAGTAGAAAATGTAAAGAACGTCTAGTATTTTTTTTTAGTTATAATGGATTTGAGACTGGCTTACATAAAGCGACATGGACAGTGATGATTTATATAACCGACTCCAACTTGATGATTTATATAGCCGGCCCCAACTTGCTTGGAATTGAGACGTAGTTTTTGTACTTCACTTCTCAATTGAGAATATATCAATTTCTAACAAGTTATCGGTAACATGTTCAGTTTTCTATTTCCTCTACGAATTGGAATACCAAAGTACCTTGCACTGTGGGGCACGACTATAAATTTAGCTGAACATTTATTTTGGTAAATCTCCTTTATTACTCCATCAGTATATTTCACAACATTCAGCTTTTCCTTATATTGTTATAACCAGCTAGTTTATCAAAATCCACATCAATTGCCAAAATGTTCCAGCAAGTCATCAGTAATATCCTCGGTTTTTGCCCCCAGGGCCTAGCTCAAGTGGCAAAGGGTGGTGGATTTGTGTCTTAGGTCACAGGTTCAAGCCCCCACACCATGCAAAGCAAAGCCTGGTATTTAAGTGGAGAAGGGTAGAGGGGCGGGCCCATTATCCACCGAGTTTCGAAGGCTGCGGTTGGTCCAAAGGATCGGCCCCAGACGGATTTCTAGTCATCAAAAAAAAAATATCCTCGGTTTTCAACGTCTTGTGCAAATAAAAATACCATTGCAAACCGTACCTTCTGGTAAACCTCCTCCTGCAAATCAGCTGCATTTGCATTTCCCGTCTGAGCTGTAGAATCTAAAGATGCTACAAATAAACCAAAGGTTGAGGATAACCAAATTTTGAAAGACTTGACTTCTTACATCATTAAATTTCAGGGAAATTTTGGGATAAAAACAGTGTTAGATATTTCAGGTAGTATTCATACATTTTTTTTTCTGATTAAGAAACTATATTCATACATACTAATTGCCATCTAAATGTATATGGTCCTATTGACTGGGAATTTGGTAAAAAACTAATATTCCATAAATGTAAAAATAAACTAAGATTTCCATATTTTACTTAAAAGCCAATTGCATATTTGGGATCTCATTCTTTCTGAGTTTCCATGATAGTATGGTTAAAGCTGAACAAAACAGCAACATCACACTTGGTCACATCTCTACCTCTCAAGACTAATCATTCCAAAATAATTGGTGTACTTCCAAGAAAAATGTAAACTAGTGGTTCAAATAGATAGACGTCCTATTATCCTTCACAGAGAAAGCCAGAGAGGTGGAAAATTTCTAAGAATGCCAAACTGCTAAAGCTTTTATTAAGAAAAATACTTACTTGATGAGGCTTCTGGTGCGGCTCTTTGTGGTTGATATAGCTGCTTCTGCTGTTCCATTACATTCTGCTGTTGAAGCAAGGGGCCTGATGTTTGAAGCCTCTGTTGCATTTCCCTTTGCAATTGATTTGTCTGTTGCTGCAAACCCAAAGGTGGTTGTAATTGTCCTGGTTGTGATTGACTCTGAGACATCATTTGCTGTTGCGCTGGCTGCGACTGAGATTGTTGACCTTGACTTGGTAACAAGGTTGTACCACCCTGCAGCATTTGTTGCTGTAGAGGAACTTTTGATTGTTGCAACATATGGATAGGGTGCTGATTAGATGGCACGCCAGAGTTGCCAGGTTGTTGACTTCCAGTCAATTGTTGCTGCTGGACCCCAGCAATATTACTTTGAGAGCCCAACTGCTGCTGATGCATATTTTGAAGATTGTTTTGCTGATTAAGTAACTGCTGCTGCTGCAGACTGCTATAGTTGTTCTGTTGGCCCACTATCCTCTGCTGCACATCAGGCATTGTGTTTTGTTGGCCTATCAGTTGGTTTTGCTGGAGATTTGTAGCATTTGCCTGCTGTGCAATCAGCTGTTGTTGCTGGTGCTGTTGGGCTGGTAAAATTGGTTGCTGTAGCATTGCTGATTGCTGTTGATGAAGCATGGGAGCCTGCTGCTGTCTCATAACTGATTGTGATCGTTGGTGAAGTACAGACTGAGTTGACTGTTGAACAGTAGACTGTTGGTTCTGCTGAAGGTTGGACAAAGAAGTCGATTGCATTGAAGAAGGTTGCATCATAGTTTGCTGAGAAGATTGTATCTGAGTAGGCTGTAGAAGGTTTTGTTGCTGTTGTTGTTGTTGTTGTTGTTGTTGTTGCTGCTGCTGCTGGTCCTGCGGCTGTTGCTGCTGCTGCTGTTGCATGTGAGATTGCATCATGGACTGTTGCGTGCTTCCTGGCTGAAATTTCTGCTTCATCATTTGATGATGCATCTGCTGCTGGTAAAGATATTGTTGTGATGTCTGGGACTGCTGCTGTTGCTGTTGAGAAACAACCTGTTGTCTCCCCTGCATTTGCCTCTGAGAATTAGCAACCATATTGGAAGGCATGCCTTGCCCAATGGCATTTCCTACGGAGTTTTGACCAACATTTTGCATGTTTTGCATGGTCTGCAAATTTGCATTCTGGCCCATGACATTTGGCATGGTAGCCTGCGTCAAATTGCTCACAGGAGGAAGTGCAGGAGTCAAACTTGCAGAATTTTGCAGCCCAGTTGATGCCATGTTGTTCTGAATGTTCTGCTGCAACAGTGGTTGCCGTGTTTGAGTTTGATTGGCCACCATAGGTACAGGAAGTTGCTGTGCTTGGCTGTTAACTTGGGACTGCATGCTGTGGGATCCTACAGAAATGAAAATAAAACAGTCAAGATGCTTTCAAATAAATAACAAACATAGCAAGAAAAGCTAGCAAGTATTTTACAGTTTAAGATACGAGAAAAAGGAGCCATTGCTTTGCAAAAACTAATCCCAAAATACTACATGAGAACTCTGATTAAGTTATTATTATTACACAAATAAACAACAGCATGTAGTACTGCAAAATGGTCCGCTTTTCTTTTGTTCCTTTTTGTGTGTGTGTGTGTGGTGGGGGGGTGGGGGGATAGTTAAGAAAGGACGAATAGTCAGAAAGTAAATAAACAGCACTTTAAGGGGCTAGGACTCCGACCTAGAGCACAAAGAATACTTACGAAGAGTAGTCACCTAAAATATTATAGATAACTCAAAGATTAGTTCCAGTACACTTCGTAGCTACACATAGCAAAAATTTTCAACAGCGGAACAAAGTAAATTAGGTATATAAAGCATCCTCTCAGACAAAAGATTTGCATATGTGAAATACAGCACATGATGTTTCATCACTTACCTGGCCCAAGGGCATTCTGACCACTACTTGCAGCATTGGGCTGCATAGAATTATTAATAGGATTTTGAGATTTGGTCTCCATAGTTAGCATCTTCAAAGATATTTTCCGCAGATAATCTTGCTGCAACATTAAATAAATTTGAGTTAAAAAAACACACAATGTGTCTAGATGACTGGAAAAGATAAATCCATGAACACAAGCAAGAATAACGTCAACAACGTGGAGAACAAGTTGCATTTGTTCAAACAACTAGAAATAAGGTTATACTGCATACCTGACTTGTAGCAGCCGTATAGATCTTTTCCTCAAACCTCACTGCAATTTTCTTAAGCTCCTGAACTCCTTCTTGCCCAGAGACAGGAAGATGTCTCTTTAAGGTCTCCATTCTATACAGCCATATCAATAAAAAATCAGCTTAAAATTCTAAAATAGCAGTATCCTGGCAAAAGTTCTTTAAACATAAAAATATTTTGACATTACATCCTGCTGTGACAGTGTAGTTAAAGGCTTGCTTGAAGCACGCTTAGGCCCTGAAGCTTGGTGAAGCCCAGGTTGTGTGCTACATTACATCCTGCTGTGACAGTGTAGTTAAAGGCTTGCTTGAAGCACGCTTAGGCCCTGAAGCTTGGTGAAGCCCAGGTTGTGTGCTACATTACATCCTGCTGTGACAGTGTAGTTAAAGGCTTGCTTGAAGCACGCTTAGGCCCTGAAGCTTGGTGAAGCCCAGGTTGTGTGCTACATTACATCCTGCTGTGACAGTGTAGTTAAAGGCTTGCTTGAAGCACACTTAGGTCCTGAAGCTTGATGAAGCCCAGGTTGTGTGATTTGCGCACTTAATTGGCGCTATAGTGTAGATTTCAAGGTACCAGTCTTTAAGGGCACTATAGCGCATATATATAGCTTAATTACAGTTTCTCCATTCCTTTCCAATAATTATTATTTGTGTTTATGGTTACAGTTTCTTGCACAACGTTTCTACTTTTCATTTTTTCTTCATTGGCGTTTTTCTTCACTAAAGCCCAAGCTTAAATTGCGCTTTGTTTAAAGCTCCAATATACTTTTGACTACTGTGGCTGTGAAAGCCTAAAACCTGTTTAACAATATCAGTTATAATCCAATCAATAACTTGTGCTCCAACCTGTCCTTTCACCATATTTAGAACAAAATGTAAATCATAGAGTAATATCTAGTCTAAGGCATAAACTTCCTAGTAGCCCACCTAGTAATCAGGGCAGAGCTAAAGGTAAGGAAGGGGTCGTCCTGAAATTACACTGTGCAAGTAGGGTAAAAAACAACTATATTTGTAACTGTTGAATCCCCTTAACATATGGGAAGCTCTAGTATAGCATTTTTGAAGTTTTTTGAATCCCCTAGTTAGAATTTCTGGCTCCGCTACTACCAATAATAAGAATACCCAATTCGCCTGCAGAACTGAGTTTTCACATAAAGGAACCCTAAATTCAAAATTAAAATCATTGACATATAAAAATATAGTACAAGCTGCAAAATTACAAAAAAGGAAAATTACTTACATCTTGTTGACGATCCTTTGACGAGAATCGGGTAAAAGTTGAGTGCGCCAATCACCGGAATCCATAGCTCCGGTGGGAGGTCCGGCAGCGGAAGCACCTTCACCACCCCCCTGAGCTTGAGCTTGAGCCTGAGCAGCCCTCCAATTATTCCCATCCATATCTCAATTTTCTGATCGAATCAAATTCCTTGCTTCCGATCAAAGAAAAATGAGAACGATTTTTCCAAAAGAAAAATACAGAATACAGAATCAGATTACAAGCGGATACGTTTCCTCATGTAAAAAATGAAAAAAACAATTGTCAAAATAGCACTGTTATTAATTTTAAACATTTATGCGTAGACTGGGTCGAAACTGGCGTCTTATTTCGGCTTTTTAAATGGAGAACAATTTATATTATCTGACTACACACGTGTCTGTCTCTCATGCGAGCAGCCGCCGTTGAGTCAAAATTTAGAATTTGGGCCATTTTACAGTATTTGGCCCGTTAGTCCGCAGAAAATTTCAAGGACGTGCACTAATAGCCGATTTTATGACCCCTGTTTAAAATATAGTCAAATGTTACATTTTTTTTGGGTTAAATTTAGTTGCTTTAGGATCAATATAATAGCCCGTTTGGACAAACTTCTAAAATAAGCTTATTTTGAGAAGTGCTTTTCTCAAAATTACTTTTAAAAAAAGTGTTTTTTGTGAANCAAAAAAAAAAAGCTTGGCCAAATATGCTATAAGACATGCCAGTCTGAAGTTGAAGGTACATATTGGTGTCGATTGAAAACTGAATTCGATAAGTTCTCATTCGGAATTTCTGAACTCAGTTCTTCGGAGTTGCAATCCAGGTTCTATTGTTCCTCTCTTATCTTGATATTTTAATAGTTTGATATTTTAGCGTAATTGTATCTCCTTACCTGCCTATTTTGCTCTTGAATCCTTTATTAGTATTTGCCCTAGCACTGTCAAATTAATCGCATTAGTGATAGCTTTGCCTACTTATTTATATTGTTATCTACCTGTTTACATCTTTATTTTGAATCTTTATTTCAAATATCCCTTAGTAGTTCTGTTCTAATTTGCACATTTTCTTTGTGAACTTTAGTTGTAGATTATAGCCCTCTTTAGCTCTTGTATTGTATTTCTTCACCTATTTTTCTATCCTTTAGTTGTAGATTATAGTTCCTTTAGTTACTTTGTTTATTTCTTCACCTGTTTTTCTATCCTTTAGTTGTAGATTATAGCTCTTTTAGTTCCTTTGTTTTATTTCTTCACCTATTTTTCTATCCTTTAGTTGTAGATTATAGCTCTTTTAGTTCCTTTGTTTTATTTCTTCACCTATTTTTCTGACCTTTAGTTGTAGATTATAGTTCATGTTAGTTCCTTTATTTTATTTCTCCGCCTATTTTGCGACCTTTAGTGGTAGATTATATTTCGGTAATTCATTTTATTTTTGTCGCTTGTTTTCGGGATAGTGCTTGCGTAGTGACTCCTAGATTATAGTGGCATTGGTGAACGATGGTAGGGCAATGTCTTGTCCATGGGGGATTCAACGCGGGGCAGAGGGTAATTGGGTAAGAGGGTTGAGGGAACTACTAGGCTGAGACTGAGTTCTTGGAACATAGGAACTTTGACTAGAAAATCTATAGAGCTGGTGACGATTCTTGAGAAAAGGAAGATTAATATAGCTTGTGTACAAGAGAGTAGGTGGGTAGGAGATAAAACGCGGGATGTGGGCAGTTTCAAACTTTGATATTCTGGGAGGGTGGGACAGGAACGGGGTAGGTATATTGGTCGATGAGGACCTCCGTAAACTAGTGGTGGAGGTTATAAGGGTGAATGACAGGTTGATGACTATTAAGCTAGTTGTTGGAGGTTTTACTTTAAACATAATCAGTGCGTACGCACCCCAAGCAGGCTTGTATGAGGAAGTCAAGAGGCGTTTCTAGGAGGATTTGGATGAGATGGTGCGTGGTATCCCGCATACTGAGAAGCTTTTCATAGGAAGAGATTTCAACGACCACATTGGAGCAACGTTTCGGGGATATGATAATGTGCATGGTGGCTTTGGTTTTGGAGATAGAAACAGAGGAGGAACATCTATGCTGAACTTTGATAGAGCATTTGATTTGGTGATAGCAAACTCAAGTTTCCTGGAGAAGAGGGAGCACTTGGTCACCTTTCAGATTTTGATGGCCGAGACTCAGATCGATTATTTACTCTGCATGAAGTCTGATAGAGGTCTTTGCACGGATTGCAAGGTCATCCGAGTGAGAACCTCTCGACCCTTCATAGGCTCCTGGTCATGGACCTTGAGATCACGAGGAAGAGGATGAAAAGGGCGATGTATAGCCAACATATGATAAAATGGGGAGCCGTGACGGAAGCTAAAGTACAGGATTTGGGGGTTAAGCTGGTGACTATGGGGGATTGGAGGAGTAGTGGGGACGCAAGCTCTATGTGGACCATAAATGTGCAAGGCATTAGGGAATATGCGAGAGAGGTATTATGGAACTCAAAGGGTTACTCTGGTAGTCAAAAGGGAGACTGGTGGTGGAATGGAGAGGTAAAGTAGTGTATCTAAAGCTAGTGGAAAGTGTAGCCAAGGAGGAGGAGGGCGAATAAGGAGCATTATAAGTTGGCTAAGAAAGAGCCAAAGCTAGCAGTTACAGCGGCCAAAACTGCAACTTTTAGTCGTTTGTATGAGGAACTCGAGGGCCGAGGTGGGGATAAGAGATTGTTAAGGTTAACCAAGGTGCGAGAAAGGAAGGCGCGTGACTTGGACCAAGTGAAGTGCATCAAGGACGGAGAAGGTAGAGTTTTGTTGGATGGGGGGCTTATCTGTCGGAGATGGTAGACCTATTTCCATAGTCTCTTAAACGAGGAGGGAGGCAGGAGCATTGTACTAGGTTATTTGGAACTCTCCGTGAGTCGCTGTGACTTTGGGTATTGTAGGAGAATTAGAGTTGATGAAGTTGAGGGGGCTACGCGTAAGATGAGCAGGGAAAAACGACCGGGTCGGATGAAATTCCAGTGGAGTTTTAGAAGAGTGTGGGCAAGACAAGTTTGGAGTGGCTCACTAGGTTATTTAATGTCATTTTTAGAATAAAAAATATGCCCGAAAAGTGGAAGTGGAGCACAATGGTTCTATATACAAGAATAAGGGTGATATCCAAAATTGCAATAACTATCGGGGTATTAAGCTGCTTATCCATACTATGAAAGTCTGGGAGAGGGTGGTAGAGCTAAAGGTGAGGAGGAGTGTGTTTATTTTCGAGAACCTTTAGGTTTATGCCGAGGCGTTCGACTATAGAAGCCATCCACCTTATTAGGAGACTGATGGAGCAGTACAGGGAGAGAAAGAAGGACTTGCATATGGTGTTCATCGACTTAGAAAAGGCGTACGATAAAGTTCTGAGGGAGGTTTTGTGAAGATGTTTGGAGGCTAGAGGTGTACTTGTTGCATACATCAGGTTGATTAAGGACATGCATGATGGGGTAAAGACCCGAGTGAGTATGGTGGGTGGGAACTCAGACCATTTTTCGGTTATGATGGGATTGCATCAGGGGTCGCCACTCAACCCTTTTTTGTTTGCTCTGGTAATGTACGTACTGACGCGCCACATCTAATGGGAGGTGTCGTGGTGCATGATATTTTTATATGATATTATATTGATTGACGAGACGCGAGACGGTGTGTACGCGCAATTAGAGGTATGAAGGCAGACCTTGGAATCAAAGGTTTCAAGTTGAGCAGGACTAAGTGATAGGTTACAAGTATCTTTGTCATAAGTACTTTGTTTTATATTTTGATGATCTAACAAACTTACTATCAAGAACCAGATAAGGAGCTCGTTAAACATTCTCACGACCTTAAGATCACAAGGTTCCAGGTTGAGATCCAGTTTGAGATATGGCTCAACTCTTCAGAGTCGAAGGAACAGCTGAGGGAACAAGTCCCTACCAGTTCCCGAGGTGACTGTACGAAGTCAACTCTCCAATTGGAAAGTTTCTGCCTGCACACGCTACAGTATAGGAACAATGCAACAGTTAACTTTTTGTGGAAGACTTTTTACCTACCTTGCTTACATTATTGTAAGTGATGGCACACATGTATTATTAACATAAAGGAAGGTAAAACATTCACTTGAACACTTAGATATTTTCACTCAAGCTCTCTCACGTGATTATCCAGCAAGCAATTCTCAAGTGCTTCAAGAACAAAGAACAAAACAACTACGGACTAGTTCTCACATCAAGTTATTGTATGTCCTTAGTTGAGTTGTAACTTTGTTAATGTTCTTACTTGTAACTCCTACTTAGCTTACTAAGAAGCAGTGTGTAGGAAATCCTTTGTAAACCTTAAACCTTTGTGTTTGAGTCTTGGCTAGAATTAGTCGAGTTGTGAAGTCTTTGTAATAGAGGTATTATAAATTGGTTTGTAATAGGTGTGTTACAAGTTAGTAAGGGATTAAGAGGTTAATTTCTAGGTTTCATAGGTTGTAATCTAAAAGTTTCTCAGTAGTGAAGTTGAAATCCTACAAGGGTAGGTCGTGATTTTTAATCCCGTTGAGCTGAGAATTTTTCACGTAAAGTTCCTTTTGTCGTTTACTTACTGTTGTGTGAGTGTGTTCTAGTGGAACCGATAGAGAACCTGGTTCTCTATAGAGTTTGGTAATGCTTAGAGTGTAAGTTTAGTGGCGAGACTCAAGAAGGGGAAGGGGAGGTGAGGCTGGACTCGCATGTCATCCATAGGAGAGGGAGTTTTAAGTACCTTGGGTCTATTATTCAGGGGGGTGAGGAGATTGATGAAGATGTGACATATCGTATTGGGACAAGATGGATGAAATGGAGACTAGCTTTCGGTGTTTTATGTGACAAGAAGGTGCCACCGGAACTTAAGGGTAAGTTCTATAGAGTGATAGTCAGGCCGACGATGTTGTATGGGGCTGAGTGTTGGCCAGTCAAGATCGCTCATGTCCAGAAGATGAAGGTAGCAGAGATGAGGATGTTGAGATAGATGTGCGGGCACACCAAGTTAGATAGGATTAAAAATGAGGTTATTCGCGGCAAGGTGGGTGTGGCCCCTATTAAGGATAAGATGCGGGAAGCGCGACTTAGGTGGTTTGGTCATGTGAGGAGGAGGAGGAGGAGCATAGACGCCCCAGTAAGGAGGTGTGGGAGGTTGACATTGGAGGGTCTACCGAGAGGTAGAGGTAGGCCAAAGAAGAGGTGTGAGAGAGGTGATTAGGCAAGACATGGCAGCTTCAGCTGACCGAGAACATGACTCTTGATAGAAAGGTATGGAGGTCGATGATTAGGGTAGTAGAGTAGGTAGTCTAAAGTGTTCATAATAGTAGTATTGACACACAGTTTTGCTTTTTGAGGGTAGTAGGTTTTATGGCTAACCGTTATTTTCTTTCATTGTTGATCACATTACCGTCTTGTTATTTTTATTTTGCTTTTATATGGATTTTTGGTACTGTCTCTTTTTTATTATATTTTCATTAATATGGTGCTTATACTTTTCTGAGCCGAGGGTCTATTAGAAACAGCCTCTCTATCCTTACAAGGTAGGGATAAGGTTTGCGTACACACTACCCTCCCCAGACCCCACGGTATGGGATAATACTGGATATGTTATTATTGTTAAGATATCTAAATGCATTTCTCATAGTGATGACTTCTACGTCATATTATATGGACATGAAAATACAAGAGTTATTGCTGACATCTACAAGTTTGCACATCATGAATTTTGCATGTACCATATAATAAGTCAAAGTATGGTGATTGTGACATTATTCATAACTTTTTAGAAGCTATAAACACATACGAGGTAGATGAGTTCTCGATTTATTTGGATGCAATAATGGAAAAAATATAAATTCTTCTCGATAATTTGAAAATGATATTATGTTAAATGATTAAGAGCCTATTTTTATGAAAATAGGTACGATTTAATGATAATAAACATATCAGAATCACTCACCGCAATTCTAAAATTTTAAGGAAGTTGGCCTATAATTTCTACACTATAAAAATAATATAATCTAAGTAATAAACATATTAAAGCATTAAATTTAAAGTAGGTAGTGCTTGCTAATCGAAACAATCTTTTGTGTCACCAAACAATCAGACAATTGCCCTCTAAGAAGAAGAGAAATCTCACGAGAAAGCCGAGGTGTATTATGCGTCAATTACTGATTTCTATTTACCTCAAAATTTCTTTTTTCTTTCTACTTCTTTTGGTTAGTGATTAGAATCTAATTATACTAGAAGAGCTAACATCATTAACATGAAGATATTGATTAACAATTAGCAGTTAAGCATGAAAAGTATTTAGAGTATATAACAGTTAAGACAGGAAAGGATATAATTAAGGAAAAGCGGTAAATCAGGGAAAACAGATAATTCGGCGGCGTATAAGCACTCGTCACCTTGCATATACGCCGCTCACATGAGAATCACATAGCAAATAGTCCGAGGGTTCCTAATTCCCTCAAATCAAGGTTAGACACAATACTTACCTCATTCTGCAGCCCATTCAAAGCTCTACCAGGGCCTTTCTCCTAGAATCCGCCTCCAAACCACTCGTATCTAGCCACAATTAACTCAATAACATTAAATATTGCTAAAGGAATCAACTACAATGCACAAATTTAGATTTTTCAAACTTTCCCCCAAAACGTCAAAAATCGACCCCGGACCCGCTTGGTCAAAACCCGAGGTTCGAACCAAAAGCCATTTACCCATTCACCCCAAGCCCGATTATGTAATTTGTTTCGAAACCTGACCTCAATTCGAGGTCTAAATTCCAATTTTACAAAAAATCCTAATTCTACCCAAGCCCCCAATTTTCACCATGAAAATCCTAGATTTTAGGTTGAAATCTCATAAAATGTAATGAGTAATTGAAAGAAAGTGGGTTAAAATCACATACCAACAAATTGAGCAAGAAAATATCTTGCAAAAATCGTCTCTAAGCTTTCTAGGTTTTGAAAATTTGAAAGAATGACAATAATCCCATAATGGAACTGTTTTATCACTGGGTATTAGTGTTCATCGCGTTCGCGTGAACACTGATGCGTTCGCGAAGAGCAGGGCCTAAGTGGTCTACACGATCGCGAGTAACTATACACATTCGCGAAAGTCTATCCCCCCTGACCTCTGCGTTCGCGAGACTGGGCTCGCGTTCACGTAGAGTTACCTCAATTCCCCCTGACCAGCCTAGCTAATGCTACGCGTTCGTGTGTGATGAATTGCGTTCGCGTAGAGAAAAAAACCCCAATACTCCGCGTTCGCGGCCATGGTCTCCTGTTCGTGTAGAGTAAAT